CGAGAGAGAGCGAGAGCGAGAGCGAGAGCGAGAGCGAGAGCGAGAGCGAGAGCGAGAGAGAGAGAGATGCATGAATGAGACACGTAACACGTGTGTATTATCATTACAGGTAATCGACTACAACGGCGAGCGAACGTTGGATGCATTTGTCAAGTTCTTGGAATCGGGAGGCGTAGAAGGAGCAGGGCCCGAGCAATATGACGTGAGTCTGGACACAGTACCGCAGCATGTACAGTCTAAAATACGTCTAAGCGTGGTTACTGATGACCGTCGGGCCGGGAACGATTGTCTAGGCAATTTCGAAAATTTTCTCAACCATCGATTGGCCCGAGGCACAGGCGAAAACTCGTCTAAAATACCGGTTTTGTGGCTGTTAGGAGTCAACGTCCTGTCCTGTCTTCCTGTCGCTGGGGTCAGCAAAACCAGTCTTGCATGCATAACGTACCTCGTTTTAGCTCGTGTGGAACAGCATAAAGTGTCAGTCCAGCATTTTAACGTTCCCTTTTCGTATTTGACCGTTACGTTCTTAAAAGGTGTTAATCGTTATCGAGAAAGTCGGGTATTGCCAGTCAAGTCTATTTGTGTTTAAATTCACATTTCATTTCTGTCCAGGAGGAACTCGATGAAGAGGAAGAAGAGGAGGAGGAGGAACTGAAGAAAGATGAGTTGTAATTATACCCATGATAAATCATCGGTAACGCAAGGCTAACTCCGAGAAAGGTGGTCTACGACGAGCCAAGAAAGTTCTATTTCACAGAAGAGGGAGTCTTACCTCGTAAAAAAAATATACAAAGAAATGTTATAGTTTCGTTGTTATATCTCGCCTTCATCTAGTTTCGTGTGGAAATTAAAAATTTTTTAAAATAGGTATCGTGACACGTTGGCTGTTAGTCACTGTGGTCATCTTCCTGTTAGTTCTTGGTGTGGGTGTGCTTTTTACGGAAGAGTAGAAAGAAATTATTGCCCTGTTTATTAGGGTGTGTTTAATGCGCAGTTGCTGGCCTCCTCTGTGTTAGAAATAGGGAGAGGAGAAATGAGTGTGGCGCAGAGAGCATGGTACATGGAAGGAAATTGTAAGCGAGGGACGCTCATCTGTTTTATTGCTTGTATGTTGTCGCTTCGTTGTGCTCGACCTCTCTCTCGGCACCGAATGTTGCGTGTATCGAATGTCCGATTCAATTTCAGTGAGTGAGCGTCATATGAAGACGTGTCTATGAGGCTGTTGGACATATTTTCCGTTCTCTCTGTTTGCTGTACGTTTAATGTGTCATTAAAGGTCGTGGTGGTTTTTCATATATTTTTATATAGACTTTTTTCGATATGTCGGAAGGGTACTGGGCAGGTATTGCATTCAGCGGGTATGATGAGAATGAGATTTTTTTAATGGCCTGAAAGATTGTTTGTTTTTAAACACCACGCGATCATTACATGGTAGATGCGATACATGGGAAATCAAGATGGGAGATCAGATCATCGTTAAGTAATGTATGCATGTGTGGCTTTTAAGAGGCATATTGTACGCAACTACAGGGTAATGTCAAACGACGTTTTCTCTGGCTTGGTGTTACAATCTGTTCTCTGAAGATTTGATTTGTGGTAGAGGCAGGCAAGGAAGGTCTGTCATCCAGATACCCAGCTCCCATCCTACAGACTTAAAAAGATTTTTGTCTTCCCACCGACATCCTCCCGTGAGCCAAACATTTATGGGGGGAAAGAGCAGATGCTCTTGTTGAACTATTGTTTATATCATTGCTAGCGATGTAATAATGTAAGGTATTGTTGGTCTGCTTTGTACCTTCCGTGGTGCATGGGTAGAAACGACACTCAAACACAACAAATATGGAAAGAAATATGTTTAAAAAATGCTTTCTGGGTTTTGCGTTTGTTTTTGCTGGTTTTAAAGCTTGGTGTCCCCTTGTTTTTTTAGTATGGGTTTTATCAGATATGGTGCTTGGCTTCTAAAAACTGCAGTAAAGTTTTGACGAATCTCAAACATGGGATACAACAAGTACACAACAATATTTACTTCCAAGTAACCATCAAATTGTACATGATCATCAAATATATGTACGGACTGTGTATATACGGACAACGGCATATACACATTACATCAGGAATTACATCATTATTAGCTCTTGATTACATAAACATCAATAATTGTATATACAGTGATATTCTAGTATCGCGCGTAACAACTCCTACATCGTGATAATTGCCTGTCTCTTGACCTGTGGCGCCACCTGTGATGAAAATTCTTCGTGCATCATGAGGTCACCTTGAGCCGCAGTGGATTGGAGACACGAAACACCTGAGGAAGCATCTGACTGAACGACACGAATGCTTCATCTGATATTTCCTGAAACAGACCGCCACAGAGCGAATCATGAACGTATAGTGCGTGCTTCGTCTGCATTGCTATAATATCTGCACTGTATCGACTGCTTATGGGGAATCTCTGGAATGAGGTTCAACATTGTGTTCAAGTTAAAGTGGCTGCTACTGGGTTCACGCTGGTTTCATGCAACATACTAACCCATGGCTAACGCGCATGGAATATAAACCTAGAGGTTAAGGGCCGAACACACTAGGCGATTTAATCGGGCGACTTTATCCCCCGATTCTATCGCGTGAGTCGAGTGGACACTAGGCGACTAAATCGCCGGTGAAATCGCCTAGTCGTGCATGCATGTGCACGTACACCTGCGTGCATTCATGCATGCGTGCGTGTGTGCGTGCGTGTCCACGTATACGTGCGCACTTGCGTGCGTGCGTGCGTGCGTGTGTACGTACACGTGCGTTCGTGCGTGCGTGCGTGTGTACGTACACGTGCGTTCGTGCGTGCGTGCGTGTGTACGTACACGTGCGTTCGTGCGTGCGTGCGTGCGTGTCCACTTACACGTGCGTACATGCGTGCATGCGTATGCAAGTACACGTGCGTGGGTGCGTGCGCGCGTGTGTAGGTACACGTGAGTTTGTGCGTGCGTGTGCACTTACACGTGCGTACATGCGTGCGTAAGTGCGTGTGTGTGCAGGTACACGTCAGTGCGTGCGAGCGTGCGTGTGCACATATACGTGCGTGCGTGCGTGTGCACTCACACGTGCCTGCGTGCGTGTGTGAGTGCGTGCGTGTTCACGTACACGTGCGTGCGTGCGTGCGTGCGTGTGTACGTACACGTGCGTGCGTGCGTGCGTGCGTGTGTACGTACACGTGCGTTCGTGCGTGCGTGCGTGTGTACGTACACGTGCGTTCGTGCGTGCGTGCGTGTGTACGTACCCGTGCGTTCGTGCGTGCGTGTGTGTGTACGAAAA